GGCGCAGGCTGCGCCGGCGGCACTCCTTGGTTTCACGTTGACACCCTCCTCTCTTTTCCTGGATGGAGCCAAGCAACGGGGTTACAGCGGGAACCGGCAACCGGAGCTGGTTTCGGGGTGTCGGGGGGTTACGTGTGACCTCTGCTGCCTTCACAGGGTCGTGGGAGCCGTTGCGGCGGAGCAGAGCGGGCTCTGCGTGCCTGGCATGGCTGGGAGTGTGTTTGCTGAGCGGGTTTCCTGCGTTCATCCAGTCACTTCTCTGATGCCCGCTCTCGCGGCTGCCCCGTTTCCCCTCCGGCAGTTGGCTGGGGAGCAGAGCACCTATGCGTCCCTCCTGCCTCCCCACTGCCCCATCCCTTCCTCCCCAGGGCTGTGGTGCACAGGAGCTGAGATGTGCTCTGGCTCCAGGCCATCCCTCGCCTTTCTCCTCACTGGTGCTGCTGCAGCAAACCCCACCATCCCGTGTCTCAGGGCGCAGGAGCTAGGTGGCTGAGCAGATGCTGCCACTGGCTTTCTGGTCTGCATCAGGTCACATTGCCTCCTTCCTGTGCCCATCTCTGCAGCCTGAATCCAGGGTTGGAGTCCATGGCCCAAAGGCTTCCTTGATCGATGATGTGAAGAGGACCAAAGACCTTCTCTAGCCCTGTTACTGCTGGGCGCTGCCCTGGCGTAGCACACCGCTGGGGAAGGTGCCGGCAGAAGGCGCTTCCCCTGGGAAGCGAGGGAGCTTCACATTGCCTCCTTCCTGTGCCCATCTCTGCAGCCTGAATCCAGGGTTGGAGTCCATGGCCCAAAGGCTTCCTTGATCGATGATGTGAAGAGGACCAAAGACCTTCTCTAGCCCTGTTACTGCTGGGCGCTGCCCTGGCGTAGCACACCGCTGGGGAAGGTGCCGGCAGAAGGCGCTTCCCCTGGGAAGCGAGGGAGCTGCAGGCTGCCTGCCCGTGGCCGTGCCTCCGCCTGGGCGCACTGGTCAGGCTGCTGTGGGGGGCGCCCCCCTTGGG